AATATATTTTTTTTAAAGTAGCCGAGGTCGTAACAGTTACCACAATGTTTTAATTGACCTTTTTTACCAGGATTTTGTAAATTGATCTTTTTTCTTTGAGAAAACCGTGAAATTTGATGCGGATGACTTACCTTGCCGCCGTCGTTGTAGTCCCAAGGCACAAGCGAGAACTGGATGGCGGGCATAAAGGTGTTGGCCTGCAGCCAGCGGATGAACAGCTCGCTGGTGGCCACCTCCATGTTGTACTGGTTGCCTCCGACCATGTCAGGCAGGACGAGCGGGTAGCCCACCATGTTCATTTGGAGGAGTGTCGTGACGAGGGACTTTAGGCCGTTGTCGTCACCCCAGCGCGAGTCCTTGTCGATCATGCGGACGAAGATGGGTAGGTTCTGGGTGCGGTACGCAGAGCGCACCTCGGTCAGGTCGTTGAAGAGCGCGCACGTCTCGACGTACTTCTTCGTGCCCAGGTTCGGGTAGTCCTCATCCTTGGCGTGCGCGATGCTGAAGGCAGGCAGCTGCGGGTTCCAACTGATCTCGCCCGCGTCGAACTTGAAGCCGTCGATGCCGTTCTCGCGCGCCATGTCCTGATGGCGCCGCACGAACCAGTCCGCTGCAGCCTTGTTGGTGAAGTCCACGATGCTGGCGTCGCCGTTCCACCAATGCGTGGCGGTCTTGCCGTCCTCGCTCTTGACCAGGAAGCCGTTGGCGCTGGCCTCGTTGAGCGTGTCGGTGCAGTCCAACTGGATGAACGGGTGGGTCCAGATGGTGACGCGGTAGCCCATCGCGCGCAAGTCGTTCGTCAACTGCTTCATGTTTGGGAAGCGGCCCTCGTCGACCTTCTTGCTGCCGTAGCATGTCTCCCAGGCGTCGTCGATCTCAAGCTGGCTGTTGTTGAAGCCGTGCTCGATTATCTGCTTCGCGAACTCGCGGACGATGGGCTCGTTGATGGCGGCCTTGTAGCGCGCCCACGTTGACCAGACGGGATGCCGGACCATGGTCTCGTCCGGGTAGCCGGTCGGCTTGCCCAGGAACTCCTTAACGGCGTACTGGAAGGCCTCCTTGGCGTTGTCGAAGTTGCAGGTGGTGATCTTCACGGTGAAACCTGTCGGTCGGCGGCGGTATGGCGCCTCCACCTTGGAGATTAGACACAGTTGGTTGGGGGATACATCCGGGTCATTTATGCTGATGAAGAGCGGCGCGCCCGGATGCACGTAGATGAGGTCGCCGTTGGAGTTGTACCAGACGGGGTCCTGGATGCCGCGGTTGGCCGACTCCTGCGTCACCATCGAGTGTGACAGTTTGGCGTACTTCTCTAGCGGCCACTTCTGTGGAATCTCCTCGCCGCCGCCGTACCAGTGCGCGTCCGCCAGCGGGAAGCAAGACATCATTGTCTGGCCCTCGTCGATGTCGATGCTACTCTCCATGTAGACACAGTGGTTCATGCCGCGGACGATCGTGTGCTTGACGCCGTCGCGCTTCAAGCAGGCCAGCAGGCCATCGCCGTCGCGCCTGCAGTCGGACCCGTGTGGGCCGAGGTCCATGACGGTCCTCCCTGTTAACAGTCGTCCAGAGCTTTCGCCTTATTGGGACAGTCACAGTCACAAACAAAAACACGACGCTGGAGCCTCACTTACCCGTGCTGTCTTTGAGTGTATGGTTCGCGTAGGTCAGCGGGTTCGGCCGGGGCGGCGCGCACGATCCCGGGTAACTGCCCACCGCTGCAATAACAACGCATAGCTACATGGGCTGCACCAAAGTACAGTCTGAGCGGGTGAGACCGGACGTGACCAGGAGCCGAGTGCGTACCGCCGGAAAGTGATAATCACCCGCTCACAGCCCGACTGAAGTCGCATTTATGGCAGAACTCTGGGGAACATCACGCAGTGGACGTCGCGCGTCACAAATGGCGCGTACTTGGGATGTGCTTGCGGCTAGAGCGTTTTGACTGGACATCCGGTACACCATCGCCGAGCAGTCCGTGGTCCTGCCTGGCCACATCCTCCAC